TGGCGCATCGCGGACTCACCGGGTCAGGAGCACTATTCCGAGGTGCGAGGTCCAGGCGCACGGGCAATACCACGCACCCGCGGTTGGTTTGCGATCCCCCCACCCCCAATCCCAGTTAAATCCCCATAGCCTTTCCTACCACCAGCGATTTTCCTCGCCAAGGAAACTCGGTGTGTACTAGCCGCATCCTCGCCTCCTCCACCCGCTCTGTTACTGGTTTCCGCGGAAGTTAAATCTTGGAGGATTTACCTAAGCCTTAAGAGGAAAGAATCCACGTTAGTTAGCAGGGACGGAGAGCCTAGCCCACCCGCACACCCGAGGCCGCCCCTCGCTCCCAAGAGGCTGGGCCCCGCGGCCTGGGAAGCCACCTCGCTAGCTCCCGGCGTTGTTCTGCCGTCCCAGCCCGAGCGCAGCGTCTAAGAGAGGCCGGGAAGCCTCCTCTCCGCGCCACTCGACTTACCCAGGCCGCTGACTCCCGGCTCCTTCCCCAGCGCCTCATTTCCGACTTTTTCACATGCTAAGTCGTTTAACAACTCCCAGCAGCTAGTTACGGCCTCTTTATTTATAGGTTCCCTGTTATTTTACGTCGTTTTTATTTCTCTCGGCAACTATTCTAATAGATTAATCAATAACTATTTTCTGACCTTCGGGAACCCCAGCTGATGCTGTTGTGGCCGCGCGGGGTGTGTGTGGGGGGAATATATATATAACACGCCCACATCGAGCGGGGAAAGCCAAGGCAGGACCCGGGTGGTTTGGCTTAGGGGGTAAAGGATACTTCTCCCCTCAGTCGGTGTCTCCGCCTAAAGAGCACTGAGGCAGGAGGGGGTCTGAAGTCTAATTAGCAAAACGGAGTCGGGTGCGCAGCTCTTACTCGAGAGCTAAAAAGAATCAAATCCAAAAAACAAAACAGACTACTAAATTTTTCTGTAAAAAAAAAAAAAAAAGGAATGGGAATCTCGTTCCAAGTTGCCCAGTCCCAGCCTAAAGAGTGTTGGCAAAGGGGGGAAGGGGGAAGGGAGAGGGAGCAGGGAGGGCAGGGCAGCGAGAGCTGCCGGGTCCCGCGGACGCTCCCAGGCCCACGCCCTCGCTCGCTCACACCCACCCTCCAGCACTCACACCCATAGGCTCCCTCGCCCCCCGAGCGGGGCTCTAGCCTAGGCTGGGGTCCCGGGGCGGGCCAGGACGCCCTCGGAGCCCGCGGGATGCTGGCGCACCGTGCGGCGCTGAGTTGCGTGTCCCTCGTCCCTTTGTTGACAATTCCCTGAACCAACTTGAGTTTGGCCGGCTCCGCGGCGGCCCTGACGTCACGCGCGGTCACGTGGCCCCGCCTCCCGCTGGATCTTTAAGTAGAAAGTAATCTATCAGGCCAGTCCTTAAAACGGGACTTTCGACTACGGGGGCTCGGCGTCCCTGACACCCCCCCCCCGTTGCCCCTGCACGCGCCCTCCGGAGCTGCTCCGCGCCCGGCGTCCCGCGCCCGTCTGCACCGCTCTTGCTCTCCACGCCCGGGCCAGAGGCCGAGGAAGGCGGGCGAAGTGAGGGGGCGCGGCGTGGAGAAACCGCGGTGGCCGGAGCGGCATCGAGCGCCTAGTACCGAGCGCCAGGGACAGCAGGAGTTTGAGGAGCGCGGCCGCGGGGGGCGGACGGCAGCGCCCGCGCCGCGCGATGCCGGGCTGCCGAGTGTGAGCCAAGCCGGGAGGGCCCCGAACCATCTACGTCCCCCTCCCCTCTCCCAGTCTCCCATCTTTCGGGAGCACCCAAGCCCCCTTCCCCGGAGCTCGGCGGCAGACCCTGACGACTCCCATCGCCCGCCGCTCCTTCCCCGCCGCCGCCACCAACCCCGAGGAGGGATGACCCTCTCCGGCGGCGGCAGCGCCAGCGACATGTCCGGCCAGACGGTGCTGACGGCCGAGGACGTGGACATCGATGTGGTGGGCGAGGGCGACGACGGGCTGGAGGAGAAGGACAGCGACGCGGGCTGCGATAGCCCCATGGGGCCGCCGGAGCTGCGCCTGGACGAGGCGGACGAGGTGACGCCGGCGGCACCCCACCATGGGCAGCCTCAGCCGCCGCACCAACAGCCCCTGGCATTGCCCAAAGAGGCGACTGGAGCCGGCGCTGGGCCAGGGGGCGAGGCGGGCGCTTCCGAAGCTGACGGCTGCAAGGGCGGCGTCGGCGGCGAGGAGGGCGGCGGGAGCGGCGGCGGGCCCGGCTCGGGCAGCGGTGCAGCGGGAGGCCTGGCCCCCAGTAAGCCCAAGAACAGCCTGGTGAAGCCGCCCTACTCGTACATCGCGCTCATCACTATGGCTATCCTGCAGAGCCCGCAGAAGAAGCTGACCCTGAGCGGCATCTGCGAGTTCATTAGCAACCGCTTCCCCTACTACCGGGAGAAGTTCCCCGCCTGGCAGAACAGTATCCGCCACAACCTCTCGCTCAACGACTGCTTTGTCAAGATCCCCCGCGAGCCGGGCAACCCGGGCAAGGGCAACTACTGGACCCTCGACCCGCAGTCCGAGGACATGTTCGACAACGGCAGCTTCCTGCGGCGCCGGAAACGCTTCAAGCGCCACCAGCAGGAGCACCTGCGCGAGCAGACGGCGCTCATGATGCAGAGCTTCGGTGCTTACAGCCTGGCCGCGGCGGCTGGCGCCGCGGGGCCCTACGGCCGCCCCTACGGCCTGCACCCCGCGGCCGCGG